GTCCCTTTAGATTCATTTCAATTTTGAATTCCTTAGGGATCTTAAACACGCATATCATTTCGGAAAAGAAGGATTCTGTCGATGCTGTATGCCTCGATTTTCCACAAGGATCAACTATTTTATTTCCATTTTTATTACCATTCCTCTCAGTAAGACGATGGTCTGCATTTCTTCGAAGTGTATCCGCCCAACGATTCAAATCCTTCAAGTAATTTTTTCGTTGTTCCACACACCATTTTACTATCTTTTGGGCTTCTAGCTTACTTTCAGCGTGAACAGTTCCGTCAATTTTGCTGATTACCTTTGTCAATTCTTCTACATATTGCTCATCACAAACTTTAGTTGGAATTCTTTCTGGCTTTGCTTTATGATCCGTACAAGTACCTTTCTTCACGATAAATGAAGTTGAAAAATTTTTGTTGGTTTGTTCAGGCACTTCCCTGTGCTTTTCTTTGAATGCAACTTTTCTTGGCTTTAAATGGGTAAGATTTCTGCGTTCTTCTTTGCTTGAAATATCTTTTCTCTTAGAGAAATATCATTCTTCTGAACTGTGGCCGATTCGGCAATCTCTTTAGCTCTATTCCTATTCAAATCATGCAGCAATGTCTGAGAACCGATCTCTTCACATGACATGATTAACTGACTCTGGGTAGAATATTCGTTAAAATCATTTATTCTCTTTTTATCTATATGTGAAGATGAAGATAGCTTCTCCGTCCTTACGCTATCAACACAATGAGTAATTTTGGAAGCCTTTTTGTCCCTACAGCAACGTACTTGATATGCTGTCCGTTCTTTTAGTTGAATTTGATGTAGCGATAAGAGTGTCGGTGGATTGGAATTGGAGGTATGAGGAAATTGGATGATCTTCATTGCCTGAAACATATTGATCAGGTGTTCACGCATCAGTGAGTAATCATATTCGATACATTCCGGTTTTTCCTTAAATAATAACGATACTGCAAACGCTACGGCAAACACACCACAGTCAACGTGATTCAATTGGTTTTGTACTGATATGAATCGTACAGAATTATCCGAGATACTAAAGAAGGGTTAAAGAGCGCGCAGAAATTTTTTGTGATCGTCATGTAATGAGCGCCTATTCAATGTCATAAATGAAAATATTCTTACCATCATAGAAAGAACATACCCAATGTCCATACTCTCCTTTCTGTTCATCATCATTACTATATAGAATCTGAATATTTTTTTTCCCAAGAGGTATGGGTGCAATTCGCTCGGGCCTCTGTATGAATAATGTATCTTGATGACAATAATCGGAATAATTCGATAATAACTTCTCAAAAAATTCCATGTGTTCATTTTTGAGTTGTTCACATCTACGAATTATTTCTATCCACTCTAGACCAAGCGGCGAAACCTGCACCCCACACCCCTTGCTGGCTCGGCGACGTTTTTTGATTGGGGGTTCTTTGTCTTTGGACTTTGTAAATGATGTTTTTTTGAAAACGCGTTTAGATTGAGATTTTCCAATGAAACGCACATCGCCAGCGTTATTGTCATCATCAACCTCCAACGCGTGTGAATGATTCTTATCTCCTTGCAATCCGCCGTCAGCGGTCTGACTTTGATCAATATACTGCGGAAGACTCTGATGATTCTTTACAATGGTTTGCTGGTCATTCAATTGCAGATTCTCTTTATTTTCTTCTAGAAATGATTTGAATTCCATTTCTTTATGAGTGGATTGGTGGGTTTTTTGGTGTGGCCGGAATTTGCACTGAAGAATTTTTGAGAACTGGGAACTTAGAGATTTTTCCACTATCAAAGATGTGCAATAAATGCTCTCACATTCTTAAAGCATCATATGTTATTGATCCAGGGTTTTCCCCAAACGCAATCGATACGGCAAACGCTATTGCAAAAAGCCCACAGTTATACATATTTTGCTGTTGTTGAACTTTACAGAACTTCACGCCCAGTATATCAATTGGATAGAATGGGTACAAGAATTTCAAATATTGAATATGTTTTGGATCGAGTTTGCGTCTATTATCAGAATCATAAATATAGATAGAATTTCCGTCGTAATATGTACAAATCCAATGTCCATTACGCATTTCTCCAGCGTCTTCATCTGAAAAATTTCCACTCATACTATGCAACAAATGTACATGATGCTCACAGGGATTGATCGGTTCCATAAAACCCGGTAGTTGGAATTTCCAAGATTCTCGGAATTGGAATTGGAATTGTTGATGTAATAATTGCGCAAAGTAGTCAATCTCATCATCAGATAACCAACCTTCTCGTCCCCTTGTTAATATTAAATTACGATTGAACAAAGGCATGATTAAATAAACCAAAACTATTAAGTCTTAAAATTTATTCGATTTATTCAATTTATTTAGTCACTCTTGGTGAATGAAATTCTACACACTTAACAATAATACTGTTACACATTAACGTCCAATGAATTGATAAACACAGCTTGTGAATAGCTGAAGATGTTATAGCAACATCTGTCTCTCTCAGCTTCAATGAGCTGAGAGAGACAGCTTGCGAAAGCTGAATAAGAAATGATAACAGCTTAGAGAAGCTGAAAACACAGCTTGTGAAAAGCTGAAGATCAGGAGAACAACAGCTAAGAGGAGCTGAATATGTCAACAACACAGCTGAGAAATAGCTGAACAAACTGTACAGCTGATTGAAAGCTGACAAGAGCTAGAAGAGCTACGAAAGAGCTGAGAGTTGAGAAAAGAATAGGCAGAAGTTGCTCTTTGGGATGAAGCTGCCAGAAATAAAATAACAAATAAATAATAAAATGAAATGAAATAATGAATTGAATGAGAACAGTAAAGTAAGAAAGATGAGAAAAAAAGAAAACTGAAGGAAGAATAAAGAAGAAAAATACGAAATAGTATGCGATTTGATGAGAGAAAACTGAAAGGATGGAAAAGACAAAGGAAGAATTCGAAGAAAAAGATATTACTGATGAAGAAAATAAAGATAGTAAATTAAAAATATAGGTTAGAAACCTGAATCACCTCGGCTGGGGATAGAAAACGTAATCAGATCACCTACAATAAAAACACAATACATAAATACAAAAAAAACAATGAATATTTCTTGGGTTGACAATGAACTGAAATAATCATTTTTTTCTCATTTATTTACAAAATAAATCTTACTCTAACACAACCAACTGAAGTATCACAGAACACGTGAATCATCAATCAAGAGTCGCCGTCAGTCGATTCTGAAATCAATTTACAGCGGCATCTGACGTTGTAAATCTTCTTAATTTTTCTGTAAAACTTCTGCATTCCCTCGAAATGCGGAAGTTTTACAGAAAATTTTTGTTTCACAAAATGCGTCGAAAAAATGATTCGGGGCCAGAAAAAATATTAAGGCCCGTCCTCGCCGTAATTTTTTTAAATTTTTTCCCTAGATTTCCCCATTCCCAGAGATTATTTGTGATCTTGCGCCTATACCGATAACAATCTATAGAAGTTATAAAAATATATAATTTTGAAATGAAATGGAAGCGTATTAGTGCCGCCAGGTGGAAAATTAGGTCTCAAAGGGGTTTGATATGCCATAAATTTATAATGATGTCAATAATGTGGAGCTCACCAGTCCCTAGATCTCATGATCCCGATCATGGTTACTAGGGGGGATCTAGGGTATAATGAGCTCCACATTATTGACATAATTATAAATTTACGACATATCGGTATATTTAGACACTAATAGCACTTTTCTTTGCGTGATTATCCTCAGATTAAACATTTTGTGTTTTTTTCAAAGCGATTTTTTCTGGATTAGATTTTGGCATTTTTCTTCGGAGACAGAAATGTCGATAAAACAATTGAACCACAGTCGGCAAGAGAGGGTGAGGGGCTCATCTGCTTTACCGATATTTGTGTTTCCGAACAAACATGCCAAAATCTAATCCAGAAAAAATCGCTTTGAAAGAAACACGAAATGTTTAATCTAAGGATAATCCCGCAAAGAAAAGCGCTATAGAAATCTTTCATTTCATTTAAAAATTATATTTTTTTATAACTTCTATAGATTGTTATTTGTATAGGCGTAAGAAGACAAATAATCTGAGGGAATGGGGAAATCTAGGGAAAAAATTAAAAAAAATTACGGCGAGGACGGGCCTTAAACCAAAAGTTCCCAGGGCATAAGTCGTGAAATCCATTGATACAATTGGTTAGGTACTATCCTTCAAAAAAAACTTTCAAAGTTTTTTCTCCAAAATTTTCAACAGAAAAAATTTCAATAGAAAAATTTAATAGAATTTCAAAATCCATGAATTTTTCCTATAGAATATCTGATAGAAAACGCGCAAAAAACAAATAGAATTTTGACAGAAAATCAATAGGATTCCTATAGAAATTTTATAGAAATCTTATAGAACTTCTATAGAATGGTCATAGAAACCCTATTGAATACCTATAGAAATCCTATAGAATTCTAATAGTATTTCTATTAAATTTTTTCATACGTGAAAACGAAATGGAAAATGACAAATTAAAAATTGAAAAGAAAAAATAATTGAAAATTAAAAACTCTCGACGAAAAACTAGAACTGATTGACTAATTAAAAACGAAGTGCAAAATGACAAATGGAAAAAAAAATAAAAGCTCGAAAGAGAAATTTGAAATATTTTAGACGGGCTGGAAATATTGTTTGCAATGGAATAAACAGTCAAGGAGATACCAATGTTTTCATCTGTGTGTATCCCCCAACTTTTTTCTAGTATTTCTTCCGTTCTAAACAACATTTCCAACCCCTCTGAAATGTTTCAAATTTCTCTTCCGAGCTTTTATTTCTTTTTTTTCCGTTTGTCATTTTCCACTTCGTTTTCAATTTGTCAATTTTTATTATGTAAGAAGATAGGGAGAAAATAAAGATGATAAAAAATGGGAAAGGAGATAAGAAGAAGACAATGGGAACAAGGGACACAGAGGAATTATTTGACGAGAGATTTTACAAGGTCCATTGTTTTATTTTCAATAATCTGCACAATCTCCTTCTGGTCTTCATTTTTCCTTGAACACATTTTGTTGTCAATTACTTAAATAGTAATTCATATTTGATTACTTCACATTTTAAATCACATGTTCCTATTTTTTAAAGTTTTTCTTAAAATAATATTTTTACAAAGTTACGTTTTAGACTCTACATAAACTCCTTCACATTTTATGTTTAACAGACTTTATATTTTAAATCACATGTTCTTATTTTTCAAAGTTTTTCTTAGAATAAACTTTTAACCAAGTTACGTTTTAAACTCTACATAGATTAATTGACATTTTTTTCAGGTTCAATCATAAGAAATATTTTATATTATTTCATATCACATTTTTGTTTTTACTTTAAAGCTAAGATAAAACTAGTCACGTACGAGTCACAGCCCATAAAAACTAGTCAGTTTAATTTGTACTTTTTATCTTATATTTTGAGTATTGAAGAATAGGAATCTGTAACAAAAAAAGAAATTATTATTAGTCATTATTATGGCCTCATTGGTATTGGAAAAAATAAAAGTAAACTCACCATGAGAACCGAAGAAGTTAGTGAGATAGGGACCGTAGAAGGAGAAGAAGAGTTAATTAATCTCTATAAAAGAAGTTGAAGGAAGCCCCTCCTCCTCCACGAGAAGTCCTGTTTTGATAATAACGTCCTTTCCAATAGCTAGATGGAAAAAGATTAAAGTGAAGATAATTTTGTGATGATATCTCTGAATCTTGAAGAGATAGCGATATTTTTATAGAAATCTTATTTGTAGAACAGAAATAAAACTACAAAAATGGTCCTTATAAAAATGGAGCTATCTCCCTTAGATTCTATGATATTTCAGTAGAAATTAAAGCCCATACCGAGCGTTTCTCTCCCCCAAGAACCTCCCAGCTCTGCGTCTGCCCCTAGCAACACCTCTGCCCCTCCCTCTTGGAGCAGGCTCCAGAGGATCCTGAGCCGGTTGAGCAGCATTGCCTCGTTCGAGACGCACCTGCCTCTGCAGATCAGCAAGCTGTCGACCAAGCTGCTCTACGTGTTGGAGCAGAACATCACGATCTGGATGATGATGTGGGACAGGATTCTCTTGATCCATAGGTGGTGGTGGTGGAGGCTGGCCTCGTGGTGGCGAACGTGGAAGTGGTGGTGCGCGCTGAAAGAGAAAAAATGAATAAAATTTTGTTTCAACACTTTATCTCTGAATCTAAAGGAAATCACATGTTTTATAAAGGAGGCAAATTTTTCAACAAAATCTTTTTTGTAGATCTCATTCTGTTCTACAAAAAAGGTTTTTACAGAAATTTTGTAATCTCATCCAGATTCCAAGATATTCATCAAACAAAATCATCCATCATAGAAGATATTTTCATTACAATATTCAAATAAGAAAATTCAGTAACGACGTCATGAACGAGTATAAATTTAATTTCAGGCTGTGTTTTTAATGGATATCTCGAAATCTAATGAAGATTATTCATTAAAAATTCAGCCTGGGGTTCAACTCATGCTCATTAGTCTCATTTCTACTGAATTTCAATATCTACACGTACGACAATTTTCAATAGGAAACCCTAAATAATTCTATATGAATTTCTATAGAACTTCAATTGGATTTTCTATACGTTTTTTGTCGTTTCTATTGACATGTTCGATAGGGAATATTGAATAGAAAAATGTCAATAGAAAAGAAAAAGTCAATAAAATTTCATTTTTCTACCGATTTTTTTCGTCTTAAATTTGCTAAGTTTTTTCAATCATTTTTCATTTTCTTCTCTTCAAAAAAATCGAATGGGAAAACTTAGAAAATTGAAGCCAAAAAAATTCTATAGACAACGAAATTCTAAAAAAATTTACGATAGAATTTCCTATCGAACACGTCAAAAGAAACGGCAAAAAATGTATAGAAAATTCAATTTTAAAAATTTCTATTCTATTCAAGATTTTCATACGTATACAAGTATTTATACATCATATGATGTAATGAAAATATTATTAATGATTTTGTTTGCAGAAGTCTTGGAAGTGTGGAGGTTGTGTTCACTATTTAGGTGGATGAGTTGATGGTGATTAGAGATCAGTTTTTGGAGAATATCTCAGAATATGGACGAGATGACGTAATTTTTTATGGAGCATTTTTTTGTAGAATGAAATAAGATCTACAAAAAATATCCCAACCAAAATTTCACTATCTCGTGTCGATTCAGAGATTATTAATCAAAAACTAATTTCCAATCGAATCAATTCATCCTGATACACAATTTCACACTGAAGTTCACTCTTAAATTAATCCTCACAGTTCTTTATTTTATTTTATCGATTTAAGACAGATTTTTTTTATTTTTCATTTTTCAAAAATAATTATTTATTTTAATTTATCAATTGAAGAACGATATTTTATTTTCTCGCGATTTTTCGGAACTAATTCACATAATTCTCCCTCTCACATTCTGACAAATAAACCTCACAAAAATCATGGTCGAACATTAAGTGAATTTCCCCCCCTGAAAACATGTCCAATAAACAAAGCAGATAACCGAATTTGCTCTCAATATTAACGCGGATAATTTAATGGATTAATTAATATTTAGAAACTTACCAGACCGTCGTTATCCTCGGCAAATGCCGGAGCTGGTTTGTTGGCGTCCTTGTCGGCCATGTTGATGGGTTGTAAGAATGAGGGAGGACCCCAAAGTACAAACTAAATAGAGGCTCATTTCAACTTACTTTAGTCTATCCTCTTCAGCGTAAGTTCCGTAGATCACCACCATTTTAACTAGCCAATGGCCAATCACGAAATCGCATAAAGATGATGTACACTTGCCGAAAAAAGTTCTGGGAGTAACTAGATGTCAGGTCTCTACCTGACCTGACCTGGGTGTGTTGGGTTTACACACCTTCAGGTACTTAGCCGATATAGGGACCCCCAGGTACTAGGCGACATAGGGCACTAATTAGAAAAACGACCTTAGGTACTCGATTGGAGGTCGTTAGTACATGATTGTACAGTGAGATCTACCTGAGATCTAGTTACAGATAGTTTGAGATATAGTGAGAGGTAAGATCTAGTGAGAATTACCAACTTCATAAGAGAAATGTATGCCCTAGACAGATGGATAATAATCGAAACCCGAAAAATGTGCATAATAGCTCGTTGCTATGTGCCTATCTTTGTTAATAGTCAACTAATTCAACCGATAATTGCATCAGTGGAAAGCTGATACGCGATTTATATAATGTAACTAAGACCAGTTTTTATCTAAATGATCGCGTAAATTGATTATTAAAAAAAAATAGATTGGAGGTTGTGGAGGGGGAAGTTGTGTCGTGTATAGATACTTGGTCGCTCTTGGTGATCTTTCGTGGACTTGGCCGATACGCTCCCGCGTATCTCGATTTGAGAGTGAATTTCTGTGGTTCCCGGTAGCTTAGTCAGTAAGATTGTCCGGCGCGTATCTGGGAGACCCGGGTTCGTTTCCCGGCTGGGTGAAGCGGAAATTTTTTCTCTCTAAATTCTAATTCTCTTAGAATTTTTTTCTTTAAGGCCTAAAAAAATTTATTTAATGCCTAAAGGTGGTTAGGCGGCGTGCTGAGTTGAATTTGCAGTGAGAATTTCCGTGGTTCCCGGTAGCTTAGTTGGAAGAGNTTTCTGTGGTTCCCGGTAGCTTAGTCGGTAAGAGTGCCCGGCGCGTATCTGGGAGACCCGGGTTCGATTCCCGGCTGGGTGAAGCGGAAATTTTTTCTCTCTAAATTCTAATTCTATTTGAATTTTTTTTTTCAAAACTATCATTATATTTTCCTGAAAAGAATTCTTATTATTTCAAATAATTGATTTTTCAGTTTTATAACTATAACATTTTATTATTATTATTATCATTATTATTCTTATTATTAGAGGTGTATATATACACTACTGTATATCGCCACCGTCCTTCTAACGGCAAATATTATTAAAAACTATCATTATATTTTCCTGAAAAAAAAAAAAAACATTCTAAAAGAATTTAGAATTTAGAGAGACAAAATTTCCGTTTCACCCAGTCGGGAATCGACCCCGGGCACCTTTTTTATCGTGGGCTCCTTACTGGTCCCTAAATATTTTTATTTGATTTCATTTATATTGAATTAATTCGATTATTTTTAGTTACAGGTTTGGATATCTAGCGGCGCTACGAACGAACATTACCGCAAGCAGCGACTGTCGCTGGGATTGTTGTGCGCGTGACCTAACGCAGTGTCATAGTGACACATATTTTCTCTGAGATATTTTATTTTGGGATATTTTCTATTTNCGCAAGCAGCGACTGTCGCTGGGATAGTTGTGCGCATGACCTAACGCAATGTCATAGTGACACATATTTTCTCTGAGATAAGTATTTTCAAAGTGTACATTTGTTAAGTTTCCAATGGACTTTTATTATTTTCAGCATTATTGATTTTTCTGAGGTCATGTTTTCGAGTGACCACAGGCTGTCAACGTATACGAGAGGAGTAAAATAGGTAAATATTTATTTATTGACTTTTTATATTTTTGATTATTTTTAAAGTGTTCTGTTCCTCTCCACATATTTTAATCATAAATTTTCATGATTTTACCTGCATTCATTGCTTAGATTTCAATATATTGGCTTTTGTCAAAGTGACAGGTGAGATTATGTTCCCCATGGTTCTGTTTTGACTGAGTTTATTTTGAATGGTATTGTCATATAGTTNTATTTATTGACTTTTTATATTTTTGATTATTTTTAAAGTGTTCTGTTCCTCTCCACATATTTTAATCATAAATTTTCATGATTTTACCTGCATTCATTGCTTAGATTTCAATATATTGGCTTTTGTCAAAGTGACAGGTGAGGTTATGTTCCCCATGGTTCTGTTTTGACTGAGTTTATTTTGAATGTATTGTCATATAGTCTCTCAGTTTTATTGTTTATTTTATTGAACTTTCCATTTGAATAGTTATTCCGATTAATATTTCCTTTTCTCAAGGAGAGAATAATAGCTTTATTTGCTTATGAAAAATATTTATTGAATTAAGACATTTAAATTGTCTATATTATTTGCATTGTCATTCTGAATTGATAAATCTGATGTATTTATTTATTTACTGTTATTTTCTCCTTTTTCCAGGATTATTATTTGGACATCAGAGTAACTGGCTACCTTGTGCGTAACTGTAAGTACGTAAAATTTTATATCCATATTTATATATTTTATAAGGTAGCTGAAATAGAATATGTATTATTTCATGTAAATGATTATGTTATTTTCCCTTTTCAGGAATGCACTTGAGGCATAGGAACATTAGGACGATCTGCCCTAAAGAAATGTATAAGAGTGAGGTATAATTCAGCTTATTATTGTAAATATTAGTGTCGCGAGGACGACTATGATTAAACAATATTTCTTATTAATTTTACATGCCTGTATTATATCTATTTATTTAATTTGACTCTGCAGGTCTGCAGGTTCTGAGGCTTAGGATGCTCAGGATGGGCCAGAAATAGTTATTCTGCCAAATATTAATTTATTTTTTGTGTTTGCGGGTTAACACGTGGGAATGCTCTTTGGAGAAGGACACCAATGGTCTCTCGAGCATTGGAAGGGAGTGCAGCTTAGTTGGAAGAGTGCCCGGCGCGTAACTGGGAGACCCGGGTTCGAATCCCGGCTGGGCGGATCGGGATTTTTTTTTCTCTCTAAATTTTAATTCTATTTGAATATTTTTTTTTCTAATTCTATTCTATTTTTTTTTCTAATTCTAATTCTAATTCTCTTAGAATTCTTTAATGCCTAAAGGAGGTTAGGCGGTGTATGGGGTGAATTTGAGAGTGAATTTCTGTGGTTCCCGGTAGCTTAGTCGGTAAGAGTGCNGGAGCTGGTGTTCAGCAAGTATCAGGATAGGAGTTGTTCAACTCTGAAGGATCAAGGATGCATGCTGGAATTTAAAGGCAACAGTTTGAGAGTGGTGAAATGTTTTTATAAAAATTATCTATGTTATTTACTTTTATGAAGTTTCTCATCATCAATTATATTTTTATCGAGAAAATGTAATGAGGCTGAGCTTCATACCATAGATTAATAAAATGTTATTTAACTTTACATTTCTGATTAATTTGGGGGAGACCACGTAGGAATACGTGACA